GCATTTGTTTAATGCTGGATTTATTTCACCTGTAGTGATACTATAAGTACACTCACACGGGTGATAGTCAAGTCCATTCATTGTTTCTCAGACAGAAGAATAACCCACGCTGCAGCCAGACTCTGATTTTTTTTCACTCACCTGAATGCACCCCCTGAGGGTCTGATTTTCACAGCTGTGGAGCATCCACAGCTTTACCTGAAGCCAATGAGCCTGATTCTCTATATGCATCCGAAGAAGTGGGTTGCAGCCCACGAAAGCTTATGCTCTAATAAATTTGTTAGTCTCTAAGGTGCCACAAGTACTCCTGTTCTTTTTGCGGATACAGACTAACACGGCTGCTACTCTGAAACCTGATTCTCTTCTCACTTACACTGGCCTAATCCATTAACTTCAATGGTATTGCTCCTGTTTTACATTAAGGTGAGAGGAAAAATAAGCCAAATTAGAGGTGTGACCTTTAGCAGGGCTGAAAATCAGGCTCTAAGCATCCCTGGAAGGTGGTTCTTGTGAATGGGACCACCAAGTCATATGTGTAGTGAAATAATAGCATTGCCTGTCATGGATTCCACCCAGTAGCTACTCCTCTCATTACCAGTCAGGCTACATGCAACATGCTTGCAGGAGTTAATATCCAGTGAGCAGAATGGGGTTGAAATAAACCCCATCTTTCAGACTCTTAAGCACAAAGCTAATTTTATGGACATGGGCTCCAATTTAGGAGAGCCCTTAAGCATGTGATTAAGTTCATCCCTATTAAACAAACACTTAAGTTTGTGCTCAACTTTAAACATGCTTAAATCCTACTGAAATCAATGGTACTTAAACTTATGCCTAAACAGAAGCATTCGCTTAAGTATTTACTGAATCAGGATCAATTGCTGAATCAGAGACATGAGCAGCCCTGTTGACCTCAATGGAATTCCTCACCTGTATTAAATTTGTCACATGTGTAAGTGTTTGCAGGATCAGAGCAGAAGGCAATCAGAGGTTTAGTGCTGGCTTTACAGAGCAGCGTTAGAGACTCAATTGGCTGGTTTTGCTGTTGACAGTGCTCATGCTATAAATGTCAAGTCTTTTTCGCATGCTTGAGTATTACTGCCTTAGCACTAAGCCAGAATACAGTGCTGGTATAAGTAAATGCTACAAGTGAAACCACAACTGAAAAGGAAGGATTATGCACTAGACACATGAACACACAGGGGTTAGTGCTTGAATACAGGCAGTCACCAATGAGACACTATCAACTGCAGCCTGCAGTTTTAATTTTTCTTCTCATTTATTATACCCTCTTGAAAGCTTTTCTATTAAAGAAATATTGACAGCCCCCGCTGGCTTTTCCTCTCTCTTCTGGCAGCAGAAGTCAGAGTAGCTCTGTACAGCTTGTTTCCTCATGTGTGCTGCAGCACAATGGCTGAGGTAACAAGGATCACGCAGAGCTCTAGAAATCCAGGAGAATTCTATCATGTCCCCCTTCCTCGTGGAGCAGCACTTTGCTCCTTAAATAGTCCCACTGATGGGAGCCACAGATGACTCCTTGTGAGTATGGGTGGCAGAATCAGGCCCCCAGTTTGTTAATTCATTGTAGCAGACAAATGATCACAAAACCATAGCATTGTGGGAACAGCAAAGAAACAACCTTCCATCAAAATATTTCTCAATTCTGCAAATACTTATGCACATGCTTAATTTTAGGTACATGAGTATTTCCATTGACTTCAGTGGAACCACTCCTGTGTTTAAAGTTCAGGGTTTGCAGGACCTGTTGGATATTCTTTTCTGCATTCAAAATAAAACCAAGGTCCTGTCTGTCTATGGTAGTTAAGAACTTCATGGTACTTCCCCCCCCCATCCCGTCCCCAACCAAGAACAATGATGTCAGACCCCAGCATCTTATTCTGATGCCAGTTTCTTAATAATACTACAACAACACTCAGATGCCTTGATCAGGATTGGGGCTCTATTGTGCTCGGCAGAGCACACACATATGCTAATAGACAATCCCTGCTTTGAAGAGTTTACAATGTTAGGCCTTGATCCAGCAAGCCCTGATGCAACTAGTAATCATATACACACATGATTAAATTTCTACTAAGTAAAATCAGGTCTTTATATAAGACAAGATACAGGAGGATGTAACCAATCCTGTGAGAGAAGAACAGGCTTACAGAGACAGGAATGTGTGGTTAGAAACACTATGTTCACTGTGAGTTGGTTTCAAATCATTTAAAGAGATTTTTAAGAAGCATTAACAATATATGAACAAAAATAGAAGCTATAAGTAATACCTAGATTGTAAACTCTTTGAGGTACAGAGCTGTCCTCTTACAAGTCTGTAAAGTGCCCTGCACACACCTGGTGCTATATAAATTATGCAAGAATTTTTTTTAACATGGATAAGGCCACATATTTTCCCCTAATCTTCTCTGACCATTTTGCTGAAACTTTCCAAAAACAGTTCAACCTGAGGCAGATATCTGGTATGGAAAATTTCAGCCCAAACAGTTAAAGTTTGGCAAAGCTATGTACAAGTGAAAACAGGGTCTTCTAATGGAAAGTGTTAAGGAACCTTACCTATAAATGTTGCTACCAGTGCTGCTTATAATAAGGATAATTTACATGGGCTCTGATCCTGCAACAGGTGCAGCCCTTGTAGCTCTCCACTGACTTCAGTGGGGTTCTGCAGTTGCCAGTATCAGCCTATGTGGATACAATCACAGCATCAGAGGCTAACGTTCATAGTAAATACTTTCCCACACTTGCAAACTGCCTGTGTATCATTCCTATATGGCCCCTTTCACCATAGTATCTGAGCTCATAATCGTGAATGGACTTATCCTCACAACTCCTCTGTGAAGTAAGGAAGAAATATTATTCCAATTTTACAGATGGGACCTGAGGCAGAGAAGCTAAGGCTTAGATTGGCAAAGGTACCTCACTCCCATGGATTGCAATGCCAATTAAGGACATAAATAGCTTTGAGAATCTTGTTCACTGTCACACTAGAGGGAATTGAGCCTGTCTTCCAAGTTCTAGCTCAGCGCCCTAACCCCTGGACCATCTTGCTACATGAGCAGCTTGCGGTATCAGTACCTTGGCTATGAAAATTAAAGAGACTAAGGTGAATGGACTGTACTTGATGCTTCCTTAGTTTACTCAGTTATATTACTTTGATATCATTCGCATTACGGTAGCAGCCAGGAGTCCTAGTCATGGACCAGGACCCCCTTGTGCTAGGTGCTGTACAACACAGAACAAACATAGGATCCCTGCCCCAAAGAGCTGCCAATCTATATAAATGTTAGCAGATTGCATTTAAAATGTGTAAGAAAGACACTGTCATGTTAAAATGACATTTTAAGAAACCCCTTACTCATGTAAGGGGGGGATGGATAGCTCAGTGGTTTCAGCATTGGCCTGCTAAACCTAGGGTTCTGAGTTCAATCCTTGAGGGGGCCACTTAGGGATCTGGACAAAAATCAATACTTAGTCCTGCTAGTGAAGACAGGGGCTGGACCCTTTGGGGTCCCTTCCAGCTCTATGAAATAGGTATATCTCTATAATTTATGTTACAGCTTTAACATTACAATAATTTTTCCAATTTAGTCTACTTCCCACATATGCTCTTTATTTCATATTGGACTTTCATTGTCTCCAGCTTGGAAAATGAGACTAGGGGAGTCTGTTGTTCTTTAGGCCCCAATTCTGCAATCAGTTCCATGCCGACAGACCCATATCCCCACACAAGGCCCACTGACACCGAAGGGTAAGAACAGGACCTTTGTTGTGTTCATCTTCTAGGTCTATGCATTAGCACACTGCATCTGTGATTGGTGGCAAACACTGCAGGGGACTGCTGAAATCCAGTGACAAACCATCTTTATTAAAAGGGAAAAAATATCCCAGGAACTGGGCTCCACGATTATTTAAAAATGTAAATATTGGGCTGAAATTATGTCACCTTTTAATACCAGAAAGAACACATGGCAGTGCCTTAATATGGTTATAGCGAAGAGAATACTCTAGCAGTATCCAAGGAGGAGTCTGACTTTCCATGAAATTCTAGCCTCCTCTGACTGAAAATCAACTACTGGCTGCCTATACAGACGACCGGTGGGCTTTGGAAGACTCAATTTCTTTTACTTAATTATAATGATGACATCTATAGATGTCAGGAGGTCAGACTAGAGCAGGGGTAGGTAACCTATGGCTCGCATGCCAAAGGAGGCACGCGAGCTGATTTTCAGTGGCACTCACACTGCCCGGGTCCTGGCCACCAGTCTGGGGGGCTCTGCATTTTAATTTAATTTTAAATGAAGCTTCTTAAACGTGTTAAAAACCTTATTTACAACAATAGTTTAGTTATATATTATCGACTTATAGAAAGAGACCTTCTAAGAACGTTAAAATCCATGACTGGCACGCGAAACCTTAACTCAGAGTGAATAAATGAAGACGGGGCACACCGCTTCTGAAAGGTTGCTGAGCCCTGGACTAGATAATCATCATGGTCCATCCCTTCAGGCCCTAAAGTCTCTGGGAGGACAGTAGGGACAGCCAGTGATCATGGGGGAGGGAGACTAATATAACCTGGAAAAGTCCCCAGTGAGAAGAAGATCCAGTTATTCTCGTTGGGAACAAAGGCAGGGGTAGCTATTACCTGGGGCCATCTTGGCAGGGTTGAGCTGGTTTTCTCTTTTAAGTAACTTTCTACCTACATGCTCACTCTGGAGCACTGGCCCAACACGGGGACACGAGACTTGCGCCGTGTGGGGGAAGCTGCTCTCTGGGCAGAGGCACCCGCACAACACAGGGCTTCAGAGGGGCCTGAGAGCCCAGCGGGGCCTGAAATGCTGCTGAGTCCGAGCGGAGCGGCCTGGCCCAGCAGGTGCGGCCCCGCGCCCATCAGCGCGCCCTATAAAGGCGGAGCCGGCGGCAGAGGCGCCTCCAGCGATCCCGGCAGGATGGGGGAACCGGAGCCGGAGCCGGTTCGCAAGACCCACATGAACATCGTGATCATCGGCCATGTGGACTCGGGTAAATCCACCACCACCGGCCACCTCATCCACCAGTGCGGGGGGCTGGAGCCCCGGCTGCTGGAGAAGCTGGAGGCCGCGGCTAGCCAGGTACACTCGCCCCCTTCCGTCCCCACGGCGGGGTCGCCCTTCCCCGGGCGCCCAGCGCAGACAGCCCCTAGCGGCGCGGCTGCAGGCCCGGGGGCCGAGCCGTCCCCACGCGGTCCCGGCCCGGGCGCCCTGACCGCCGCGCCGCTCCGCCCCGCAGGTGGGGAAAGGCTCCTTCAAGTTCGCCTGGGTGCTGGACACGCTGAAGGCGGAGCGGGAGCGGGGCATCACCATCGACATCTCGCTGTGGAAGTTCCACACGCGCCGCTTCTCCGTCACCATCATCGACGCGCCGGGCCACCGCGACTTCACCAAGAACATGCTGACCGGCACCTCCCAGGTAGCGGGGCCGGGGCAGCCGGGGCCCCTCCCTCGCCC